TGGTCTCAACGTCTGTAAATCATTTTCCAAATTTAGGTAGCTTACTTCGAGATTAAAGACTTTATAGAACATGTCGATTAGCATGCTTTTGAAGGTCAACATATAGCACTTAAAGGGGTGACACAGAAGTCAACGTTTGTACTGGGACAGCATTGTTGAGGTAAGCTGAAAACAATAAATTGAAACGACAGAATCCACCATGAGAAAAATGAAGGCACACCTTCTATGTGAGGCGTAATTACCAGTCACATGACCACTCCCATCACACCTTGGTGTTGGACATCTGCCACCAAACAAAAACAAAAACAGCCAGAGTAGTAAGCATGTTTCCAAAAAAAAAATAAACTTGAAAAAAGTTTCATTGTTTCCAGTTTAGCTGCAATGTCTGCACGGGTTTAAGCTGCCTGAAGAAAGCTGCAAATGCACAGGGTCACATGGAAATGGTGTCTCCATAGCACAGAGCATCGCTCAGAACAAGCGTCCACGGCTGGCCTGTCACCCACCCGCCTGGCCCCTGGGGACATCTGTGCACTGTGCGTGTCGCATGCTCAGACGGCAAGGCAGATACAGACCCGGGTAGAGGTGAGCCAGAGGAGGGGCTCGGGGGAGCGACCGTCCGCCGCGCGCTGTGCTTACGTTATCAGGTCCTTCTTGCTCTCCTTGCACTGGGGGTACTTGGGCTTGGGGCTTGGGATGGTCACCTCCCCTGGGTACCTTCTTTCTTCGAGGGCCTCCTGGAAGGGGTCCAAGTCTTCTGGCTGCAGGCGAAACACAGCTTCAGGGCCACAGAAGACCCTGGACACATGGACTGGAGGCTGCGTTTCCCCCCCACCCCCAACCGTGTCCCAACCTTACCCTTAAAAATCACAACACACTCTCGTCCCGAGGATGCAAACCCAGTTTCGTTCAAAAAGCATCTTTGGTCTATGCGCCACTTGTCTCTCACCACTTGCTCTAAACCCCTAGTTCAGTGGGGAAATTCTAATTCCTGCAGCTGCACAGACAGGAGGGGCAGAGAAGCGGCCTGGCAGCCAAACCAACTACTCAGCGGACCTTGCTCACCGGGTTCAAGACCTGCAGCACTGAATCCAGCACTGACAGGCAGAACTTAAGCTTTACACGCAAAGACACCTGGGGCGTCTGGCAACCTTTGGTAAAGTGTTCCACACTGTGGAAGTATTCTACATGCTTTAAGTCCCAAGGCAAGGGAAGACCAACATAGATTGATGCTGTGAGTTTAAATTACTGTTGCTGCTGCTGCTGCTAAGTCGCTTCAGTCGTGTCCGACTCTGTGTGACCCCATAGACAGCAGCCCACCAGGCTCCCCCGTCCCTGGGATTCTCCAGGCAAGGACACTGGAGTGGGTTGCCATTTCCTTTTCCAGTGCATGAAAGTGAAAAGTGAAAGTGAAGTTGCTCAGTCGTGTCCTACTCTTCGCGACCCCATGGACTGCAGCCTACCAGGCTCCTCCGTCCACGTGAAAAATTACTGTTAGGCAGCATTAAAAAAAAATTTTTTTTAATAGAATATTCTCAAGCTAAGAGGGGCCCCTTGCAGTAACCTAGAAATTCCTATAGGTGGTGATGTTCAGCAAACGTGTTTCCTGAGTGCAGGGTTTCACTTGTGTGACACCTGACGAGGGCAAAGCTGCTGTCTTTTTATGGGGGCTTAATTTTAATTAAAATAAATTCAGAGACTCAACTACCATGCCTTATTTGGTAGTAACAATTCAACGTTTTAGGGAAGAAAAAGTACTTTGGAATTTAGCTTGCCACTCAGATTCTATTCTCCTGGATATTTAAATCAATTTGAAGAATAAACATAATAGGCTTCAGATGTAATGGCCTTATAAACAGGTACCTTCCCTGACAATTCCTACAAATAGCTAATGTTTCCTTTTTACCCACCTCTCTGTTTCTGTAAGATACTATGGCTTTGATGGTGGTCTCCCCATTGTGTTCAAAAAGAATTTTCATTTTTCAGGGAATAAAGGAGATGTCATAACTTTCAGAATTGAACACTGGAGAAAAAAATCAGTCTAATAAAGAACAATTCTTTTTTCATTTATTTTCTTAGCCTAAAGAAAATTGTAACTATTTTAATGATTTGAATTTGAAAATTGTAACTACTTCAAAAATATGTTCCTGACGTAGGTGTTTTTGGTAATGTTGTAATCAACAAATATTTGGGTGACTGTACAAAAATAATTTATTCTAGGCGGCAGGGCACTCTTCTGCATATTTTGGGTGTTTTGGAAACAGACCCTGTCCTTCCCTAGTAGCTCAGATGGTAAAGAATCCACCTGCAATGTGGGAGACCTGGGTTTGATCCCTGAGTTGGGAAGATCCCCTGGAGAAGGGAATGGCTACCCACTCCAGTGTTCTGATCTGGAGAATCCCATGGACAGAGGAGCCGGATGGGCTACAGTCCATGGGGTTGCAAAGAGTTGGGCACGACTGAGCGACTTTCACTTCCCTGTCCCTAGCTTCAAGGAGTTAGCTAATTAACAACACAGAATTAAACATGCAAGCATTTAAGAGTCTCATTATTCCTTACTTGCAAGGAAAACCCTGCATTCTATCAATTTATCACCCAGGAAAATGAATTGGTAAGCAGTTCACACATTTTCTCAGAGAAATTGTTTGCAACAAAACACACTTGTTGGAAAATAAAATTCATCATTCAAAGGAGTCAGTGGTTTGTTTCACTCTCATCAGTGTTTCTCCCAAACCTCTCGCGCATTAACCAAAAACGTCTTCTAAGCTCCAGTCAGCTAAAAGGGAAAAGACCGTTTCTGCTAAGGCGTGCACCGGGGTGTTTTCCCTCGGTGACGCCCGCTGGCGGACAGGGCGGGCGGGGGCGGGGCTCCAAGAAGGGACCTACGGTGAGCTCTTTGGACTCGTCCCCGTCCATCCTGCGGGGCTTCATCTTGGTGTAGTCCACGGGCAGGTCCCAGCAGTCCCCCTCACTCAGCTGGAAGCACCGGCTGCTCACCACTGCCTGCTGGGGGGACATGGGCTCCAGGGGCGTCAGGATCGGGCAGCATCCTTCCCGCGGCCGCTGTTTGTTCATGCTCAGGTCCAGGGTCCCGTTCTCATCCACCTCCATGTCAGGGTTCTGCGAGACAGAAGGACAGGGTGACCGAGTGCGTCTTCCCTCGGACCACAGCCCTTTCGCCAGGACAGAGGTCAAGCTGGAAACTCCTCACGGCAGTCTCACTCGCAGAAGCTCCCCAGGTGAGCAGAAGTGGTCCCCTCACCAGTTCTGCTCTCCATGCGAGGCTGTGGAACTGGCTGACAGGCGCACAGGGCATCCATCTGTCTGCTTATCTATGGACCACCTCTCAATCTCTCTTGTCGCTTACCCACGAATCTATCATCTCTCTATCACTTAACTATCATAGATCTCTATCTTTTTCCCCTAATATGTCTCTACTTTTAGAAATAAGCCTCACCAGAAGAAAAACAAGTGCCTGATTTCAATTCTATCACAGTTCAAAGACCTCTTAAGAGGTGAGAAATGGAAGTGTGTACAAATTATACATCTATATGTAAAAATGTACACAGATTTAAAATTCTCCTTTAGTTTCACTGATGCTAATACTCCCAGACTTGGAGATGAAGAAAATACAAGAATTTAGAGGGATGGAGGAGAGCAACTATAATTTACTTCCTTTTGGGGGGGAGGGCGGCAGGATCAAATTGAGTCCTACCAGGTACAGACTCTGGGAATATAGTAGTGAACAAAACAAAACAAATCCTTCCACACAGAACTTACTTTCCAATACAAAACCTTATCGTACCCGATGAAGAGGATTTTCTATTTTAAGGCAGGGAAATGTGCAATCACAGTACATCATGCTTCCACAGCAGTGATTGCGGCTGACCTGCTCTAAGGGTCAGCAAATCTGCAATTTAGTCACCCAGCTTTGCAAAAGCCTAAGAGGTGCAGGGTGAGGGGTTTCTTTTCTTTTTGATGCTTTAAACAGATCAAGAATCCCTGAGAATCTTCCTCTCGAGAATGGGGAGAGAAGGAAGGGCAGATGGAGGACAGAGGAAAGAAAAATCAAAATACCTCCGACAATCCTCCATTTTTTCCCCCAAAGAGTCATACTCTCTTGAGCAATTTGATGTCAGAGCTGGCGTGAACGCCGCTGCCTACTCAGACGTCTGGCGTCTCTTTCTTCGGGATGTAACGGCAGAGGGAAGGTGCTTGGAACCAACCTCCGCCTCTGGGCTGTTACCGGGGTAAATCCCAGCGTATTATTCTGCCTGAATCCTTGTGAAAGTGCACCTCTGGCTTCCAGCTTTCAGACTAATACAGCCTTCATCATGTCGGACTGTAATTCCCTCGGTCTTAGTTAATATTTAATAAAGCGAAAACACACACACACATAATACACACAAAACCTCGAAGGGGTTATTGTCTTTTGTTTTCCCCTTGCCACAGAATTTCCTCCATGGCAGCCTGGCATTTTAGCAGCCCTGATCATGGAAATTGCATGCCCCTGACACTCCTCCAAAATCCAGGAATAAAAATATTAATAGAGAAGAAAGCATTTCCAAGACATAAAATTACTGACCTTTCTCCATTCACACAAATTACACCTATTTCTAACAACTACGGTCAGTGTGGTGCGCTCAGGAGCGTGCCCAGCGGTGCTGGGCGACGAGGCGGCCCTTTGTTCTGGAGAGGAGAGCCGCCGGCGGGGGCAGGACGCGCTCGCGCCTGGGTCCCTGGCCGCCTGGCGGCCTCTCTGGGCAGCTCCGGGCGCGGCGGGGCCGCGCGGTTCCCCCTCCTGCCGGGAACCGGTCGACGAGGACCCGCCCTGGCCCTGCTCACCGTTTCGGCATCTGTGGTGTTCTGAACTAATGGAAGCTGACTGTAATTGCTTGGCTGGGAGCCCGCGGGGAAACGGGATTTTTGCCCTTTCTTTGTTCCCCAGCTCTGGGCTGGAGGTCGCAGTCCAGCCCGCCCGCGGCGGCCTCTGCCCGCGGCGCTGCACACCCTCCTCTGATTAAGGGCCGGGACGCAAGGCCCCTCGAGGTTCCTAGTGTCCATGCTGCCCTCGGGATCGCCAGGAGGGGAGCGTGGTGTGGGTCCTAAAGGGGGAAGGGCGGTGCTCCTAAATGCACAGGTGAATCTGAAAGACTGATCTGGAAAATGTGTCCCCAGGGCCGTGCGCAATCAGGCTTCCTTGGAGCAGAGCCGCGGAACGGGCGGGCTGCGCGGGCCTGCGACGGGGACCTCGGGGTCGGGGCGGCAGGGAAGGGAGGGGGGGCGGGGGTGGGCCGAGGCCCCGCCCCGCCCGGCGCGCCCCGCCCGTACCCGCGCGGCGCACAGGTCCTGCGGCTTGGTGGACAGGTTCTGCGGCATCTCGCGGCAGCGCGTGGACAGGTTGAGGATGGCCGTGGCCGCCATGTGCGCGGCCTCCGCGTCGTGCGTGTAGTCGAAGCTGCTCCTGCTGCACGTGCTGCTGGCGCTGCTGCCGCCGCCGCAGCTCAGGTTGCTGCTGCTGCTGGGCGCGTAGGTGCTGGCGCTGCTGCCGCTGGGGCTGGCGTCCTTGCAGTACCGCTTCGCTGGGGAGACAGCGCGCGGCGGTGACTCGGGGGCCCCGCCCAGGCCCGCGGCCGCAGAAGCGCTCCCCGCGCCGCCCGCCCGCCCACACCTGTGCGTCGGTCCCCAGGGGGACAGGGCACCTGCCCACCAGCTAATTCCCCGAAAGAAGCCTGGCTTTTCCTGCTTTTTCCTTCTTTCCCGTTGTGTGGGCGGAGCCGGAAGCCCGCAGGAAGAGCACCGAGGCTCTCAAGCAGGGGGCGAGGGCAGGGGCGCCTTGGAACTGATCCCTTAAAGGCCAGCCCCGCTTCGGGCGCGGCCACCGAGGCGCGGCCCTCACCAGCCTGACCACAGCCCAAGGCTGGCTCCTGTTATGGCTGCTGGTCTACTCTCACGGGGAGACGGGGACCCTGCAGCCCACTCATCCCTCTAGAGACTGGACGGCCTGTCCCGCCCGGAGGGGCCGCAGCAGCCCTTTGGGGCGCCCTGACCTGTGCAGATGGCCCAGATGCACAGGGAAGGCTCTTGTGGGTCTGCGAGCACCTGCGCTTTGGGAAGGGCGGGCCCTGCCGCTCCGCCCTCGTGTGCATCCCAGCCACCAGCTTCCCTCCGGGATCCGTCTGAGCAACCAGCCTCCCAACCACCCACTCGTGCCCACAGGGCAAGGGTGGCTTCCGGAGCTGTTTGCACCTCCTTTAGTGCAAGGACGGGAAGGTGACCGATGGTTGACTGATTAGGATGTGCCCGGGTCATTAAAGACACAGGATGCCCTTTGCTTAGGAGTCAGCAGCTCGCCTGAGCCTGCAGGGGGGCGGGAATTACTCCGAGGGGAGCCCCGAGGGCGCCAGGAGAGCTGACTGCAAGGTCTGCAGGGTGCCACCCGCTCCAGCAACCCACCCCTTCACAGGGCACAGTTCCCTTCTGCAGGGAGCTCAGCCGTCACCCCGACAGAGGCCAAGCTGCAGGGGGAGCCCAGAGAGGGCTCCAGCCCTGCTCAAGGCTGCCTGTGTGCACGCGAGAGCCCCATCAAGATCATTCTGGCAGACAAGTCACCTCTTCTGAAAGAGGGAGGGGATGCTGCTCCCCTGTCCTCAGCATTGTCATCCTCGTGCCTGCAACCTGGTACCCTGCCCAGGTGTGGTCAGCAAGTGACCACGTGATCACAGCCAACACTGCTGGTCATCACAGCACCCCCAAGAGCGGCCCCAAAGCACCCTGTTCCGACACAAATGAAAGCACTGGCTTTCACCATTGACACCTTTAGATCTGGGACGGAAGAGTTAGTTTTCTTGACCCCAGGGACGTGACGGGGGGAGGCTCTGAGCGTGCAGCCGCCTCAGGGAAGCTGCCGGCCTTGTCGCAGCCCCGTGCCTGGGCCCGGGCTCAGTTCCACACCCTTACACCCGCCCAGTGCGAGGAACGACTTCCGTCCTGCTCATACTCGGTCAAGCCTGAGGACCAGTCCTCACACATGTGTGGGAGCCTGCCCTTCTCCTCCCCCCTCCCCCCTCCCCGTGAGCACACCTGCTCAGAGCAGGGGACAGCACCGGGGCGGGGGCGTGGGCCCCCTCTGAGCACAGAGCGGGAGGCGGGGCCGCGCAGGGCGCCCCGGTGGGCTCTGTAAACAAACCAGGGCAGCGGCAGCTCGCAGCTCACAAGCCTCCCCGAAAGGACTTTCAAGTTTGTGGCTTCACATCGTTTACAATTTTGTTATAAAAACGGGAATATAAAAACTGTGGGGGAAATGAAACACCACTTAGGAGGGATTTTTTTTTTCCTTCTTTCCCTAGTGAGGGTTAGACACTGGTTCAGGAAAAGAAACATGGTCCACATAAATAAGGAAAAAAGTTTTGTTTTGCAATGAGGGGATTTCAGTTTCCAAAAGAAAGTAAACAGCATACGTGTGTCTACGCAACAGACTGCACTCCCCAACTTCTGGTAAAAGGCACTGACTTTACCAAATATTTAAATCAAAAGACTCCACTTCCCCTGGATTATGCCAAGCTGATGGGCCTTGTCCAGAATTTTAGCAGCTGATGGAACTGGACAATTTATTGATCTGCCTGTCAGCTCACGTGACCCAGAAGGAAGGCGAACAGAACATTTTTTTCACAAGCATCCTTTCACCATGGGCCATCAATCATGCATTCTTTGCTCCAAATGCAAATAAGAGTCTGTGTACTTCAAGTCTCTCAGATAATGAAGCTCTTTGGTTTTAGTCATTATTTCCTATTTGTAAAATATTTACAAAGCTGTTAGTGTCAGTAATCTTTATGACCAATCACACGAACAGCCGACTCATTGGAAAAGCCCCTGCTACTGGGAAAGATCGAAGGCAAAAGGAGAAGAGGGCGGCAGAGGGTGAGATGGTCAGATGGCATCACTACCTCAAAGGACATGAATCTGAACAAACTTCAGGAGACAGCGAAGCCCAGGGTAGCCTGGCGTGCCGCAGTCCACGGGTCGCAAAGACTCGGCTATGACTTAGCAACTGAACCACAGCACGCTCAGAGCGTCTGGGGCTCACTGCGTGGACACCAGGGGGCGCCACAGAGCAGGGGCAACTCTCTGCCTCGCTCCCAGCCCTGGGACAGCCCCCCTTCCACCTTAACCAAGTCAAAACTTCCTTTTTCTTTTGACAAAGCTATTTTCAATCAAAGCTTTCCCCAATCAACCCGCAAACAAATGCATTCATGTTCCTCAGATGCCAGCACATCCCTGAACTTAGGAGACAGAACAGCTTCTACTCCAGAGAGAGGCCGTCTCATTTACAACGTCAGAAGTCCACCTGATCTTACCCCGTGCTGAGAAATATCTCAAGTGCCCTGCCCTCTCGTGCAGGAAAAGGAAAAACAGGCTGGGGTTTACAGTGATTACAGATGATGAATTAGAAAAACAACCAGCCACCTTCCAATTCAGTCTATCTGCCTGAAAGACTGTTTCGACGTGGGTGCGTCGCCCTTCTGAACTATTGTTTTCTGTAGGGAGTGGATCACTGTGGCCTTCCGATCTGAATTTCTGTGAAAAGCAGGCAAGATGGAACACAGACGGGAGATATGCTTCCTGAGGATCCGCCCTCTGGTTGGGCCTGCACCCCCGTCAGGTCTGGGTGGACTCAGGGGTCTGCACCCCCCTAATTCGTAGCCCTGACTCCCAGACGTCATGTGGGTTCCTGGCTGTGCTTTCCCGTGAGCAAGCCGAGCCTCGGATGCAGAGTCCTCAGGGGAACAGCGGCGCCTCCCGAAGGCAGTTTGCTCAGGCGGTTTAGGGTTTATCGCGTCTAAACCAGGGCTGGATTCTCGGTGGTCTCCCAGCTGCTCGCTCTCTCTGGGACGTCTAAACCAGGGCTGGATTCTCGGTGGTCCCCCAGCTGCTCGCTCTCTCTGGGACGTCTAAACCAGGGCTGGATTCTCGGTGGTCCCTCAGCTGCTCGCTCTCTCTGGGACATCTAAACCAGGGCTGGATTCTCGGTGGTCTCCCAGCTGCTCGCTCTCTCTGGGACGTCTAAACCAGGGCTGGATTCTCGGCGGTCCCCCAGCTGCTCACTCTCTCTGGGTGTCATCTGCCCGGCTCCTGTCTGCCCAGGCTGCACCCGCCATGGGTGGAGGGGGCGGTTTCGGGTCTCAGGAGATGGGACGTGGGACCCAGAGCTGCAGGGGGAGGCCTGGACCTCTCCGTGTGCAGGAGCAGGTCTGAGGAGGCTGGGGGCAGGCTGCTGAGTCCAGGCACAATCTGTCTTGGGATATGACTGGGGAAGAAGCTTCCGGAGGCGGAAGTGACTGTGGGGGGCGGGAGAATAGGGAGGCAGGTCTTCCAAGAAGAGGCTGACCTAGGGGTGGGGGTGGAGGCAGGGAGGCCTGGCCCAGAGGATGGGCCTGGAGGCACGGGAGGGCTCGCCCACGGGACCCTCCCTACGCCAGTGATGAGGCCTAGGCCGGGGAGGGCAGGAGATGGGGAGGTGGGCGGATCAGAGACAAGGCTTTTGAAGAGTAGCTGTTGTTCAGCTGCGAGCTGCGTCTGACTCTTTGCCGCCCCGTGGCCTGCAGCACACTAGGCTCCTCTGTCCTTCTCCATCTCCCTGACTTTCCTCAAACTCATGTCCACTGAGTCGGTGATGCCATCCAACCATCCCATCCTCTGTCGTCCCCTTCTCCTCCCGCCTTCAATCTTTCCCAGCATCAAGGTCTTTTCCAATGAGCTGGCTGTTCACATCAGGTGGCCAAAGTATTGGAGCTTCAGCTTCAGCATCAGTTCATCCAGTGAAAATTCAGAGTTAATTTCCTGAACAGACAGTGGTTTAAGGATGGGCAGGAGAATGTGGAAGTTGGGAATAACCCAGAGGAAGGCTCACGAGAGGGGCCTACGTGGGGCTGAGAGCATAGGGTTTTAACAAAGCCTGAGGGTGGTGATAAACTGCCCAGAGCGGGATGGCTTAGACCCGGTCGGAAACTTTTTCTGCGAAGGGCCTGGCAGTGGTGGAGGCTTGGTGGTCACGAGGCCTCTGATGGCACCGCACGTCGGGCTGTTGTCCTGGGAAATAGCCGCCGTCCACACGGATGAGGAAAACTGCTTCTGAACAGTGAAATTTGAATTCTTCTTTTGTTTTTTCCCCATCTATTTTACAGTGGAAATGCCATTCTTAGCTCACCATAAACAGGCCTCAGGGGGAGGCAGGGAGACCCCGGCTAGGGGCAGGGCTCCCTCCTGTATCACTCCTGCTTGGGGATCGGTGTGCTTTGCCCCGAGGCAGACGACACAAAGTCCTCTCCTCACCACCTCTTGGTCATCCTGTCCCTTCTCTCCTGCGTCTCAAGTCCTGGCCTTGCTGGCAGCTTCCACTCACTCATGCACTTCCTGCCTTCTGGTAATTTCCACTCACGATCAAGTTTAAAATTCACCACTTTGGTAAAACTCATGCTAATTCCTTCAGGCAGCATGGACACCTTGCTTCACTGTGCCTGGGTGTGTTTCACTGTCTTCTATAACCCACAGTATCTTCCTTGAAGCTTGTTATAAAGAAGAGGAAGAAAATAGATGGATGAATGATGGGTAGATAGGTGGGCCCATGGATGGATGCACGGATAGGCAGACGGATGGATGGAGACATGAATGGATAGATGTATGGTGGACAGATAGGTGGGCCCATGGATGGATGGATGGAGAGAGAGGGGGGTAGACAGACTGGTAGATGAGACACACAGCTACTCCTGAGTGTCTGGAAGAACGCGGGTGAATAAATCGATGTTTGTTGACTGTTCTTGGCCATGGCTGGTGGAATGTGAGGGACGACCCCAGAGCCTGGGATAAGAGTCCTGCTTTTCCAGCCTCCGTGCACCCCAGGCCCTGACCCCCACGCCCAGACATTATGCTCCCCTCCCCCCGGAGGCTCATTCCGGTCTCTGGGGGCAGTGGCCCAGCCCATAGTGCACCTGGAGCAAGTCTTGCAGACAGCCCTCTTAAGGCAACTGCAGACGCCAGTCATGCCATGAAGCCTGCCTTTCCCTTTCCCTCAGTTTCTAGAAGACTTGGTGCTGAAGTGTCTCTTCTGTGTTCTTTTAATTTGGGGACCAGCTGAAGAGCAGGGCAACAGCAGGTCTTTTCTGGGGGGCGAATGGCACCAGCATGTGTAGGTTCCCCTCGTAGCCTTGCTGGCTGAGCTGCACCTAGTCAGCCAGCAGGCTGGAACAGTCACTCCCTCTGCTTTCAAGGAGACCACCACGCGGGAGGATTCATGTGTCTGTCCCCACTCAGCTCAGCTGAGAAAGGGCATGCTGACCCTGGTCGCGACTTCACCAGATCCAACCAGAACAACGCGACGGAAAGGACAGGAAACAGGTCTCGCAGAACAACAGCAACAGGCTGTGTGCAGGAGTGGCCACCAGACCCTATAAAACGTCAGTGAACTGGGGACCCTACAAGCACAGACCTTAATTGTGTGGTCTGAAGAATTCAAGTTCTTCAGATCCCTCATTTGCATCAAATGAATGAAGTCATAACAAAGCCTGAAATTAGCAAATTATTACTACAAAACCCTCAATTATTATGTTATACCCTAAGCCACTCCCTTTTCTCCGCTTCCATCTTTGTTCCTATGTATTTAGAATTGATACACACAAGGGTATTCAATCTGAGATACATCAAAGAAATATTATATTTCACTCACCATGCAAATTAATTGCTATTAACGTGAAGAATGACTAAAATAATGTAGAATAATGTGTGCAACTCATATGGAATTGTGAAAAGGTTTTGGAACTACCCAAGCATTCAGTTTCAATGGATTTTTTGGTGTGCAGTGAGTTTAATTAAATATCTTTTTCAGAGAGCTGCTCTGAAATCTTCCAAACCCTCTCTTCTGGCCCCTGCTGAAGAATGCCAAGATTAGACTCCTAAATCACCCAGTGTACACAACCCACGTCCCTGTCGGTAACATCTGCCAACTAAGTCCATATATCCTAGAACTGAAGATAGAAACGTGGTTAGATAGATATGGAAAGTCACGGAACGCAGTCTCCCCTCCGTGCTTCAATTACTTACCAAATTAGCTCTTGTGATGACACGGGAACTAGCCTGTTCAGAGTTTGCACCCCTTTTTGTGGGTTCAGATATGCACGAGTGAAAATAAGCGATCTTTCCCCGTGAAGCGTACGTTTACCTATTTCATGGGCTCCACGAGCGAGGCCAGTGACTGAGTCACAAAGCGGGGACAGGACGCTCCCCAGGCCCCACCCTGGGGTCTGAACCTGCTGGAAGAAGGCTGGTGGGGCCCGCAGAAGCTGCATGTTAGATTCACTGGTGACTTTTTAAAAATGCTGCCCACCGGGACCACCTCTGGGGAGTCAGATTCAACTGGTCTGGGGTGCAGCCATAGACATCAGAATTAAAACATCTCCCCAATGAATGCACCATGCATCCTGACTTGAGAACAGGCAGGGAGCACAGAACTCTCAGAAGGACCAGGAACTCCGGGCAGATACCCCGGCTCGGTTTTGTCTGTATCGGGGCATCTATCAGAGGAAGCTGGTGGAGATGAGGACACGTCTCAGCAGCGCCGTGGAGCAGACAAGCCCACAGCTGTCTGTCTCCACTGCCTGCTGGCGCCTGGATGATGCTCTGCCCTGGGGATGATGGGGAAGGGGTCTCCCTCCCTCCATGCCCCCCTCCCTCTCCCAGGACCTGCTCGCCCACACCTGCGGGTACCTGGGGCCGCAGGAAACCCGCCTAGGCTGCGGGCGTGCTTTCCTTGGTGCCCAGCGAGCGACCCCATGCTCGGTCGGTTTGTAGGCAATGGATATGCACAACAACAACATTATCAACGGCAAGCGTGACGCTCATGTAGAAGAGGGTGCACCTCCTACCATCGAATCCTTTGGGGGATATGTCCCTGGTTTGCACCTTGGGAGCTATGGCCCGCTTGCCGTAAGTCTGGCTGTCGTATGTGCTGTAGTCAAACGACGTCTTGGAGTATTTCTCCAGCTCTTTGGCCAAGTTGGAGCGAGGCGTGGTGGTGGGCACGTTGTTTCTGTAGCCGTAGTGTGGGATCTCCAGCTGCTTTACAAAGCACATGGGCCTGGGAGCAGAGAGAGAGAATGGACAGCTTGCTTCCTCACGGCCACGCACGAGACGCGGTTCATCTTAAAACGAGAACATCTTGTTTCTTAGCTGCGTTAAGGAACCGGAATCTTGCACTAAAATCCCAATTCTGTTTTCTTGAGGAAAGGCCAAGCATGCTGTAATGATACAACATCAAATCGGCTTCTGCCAAGATGCGGACTTTTTGGAAATAAAAAGGACACAAAATAAAATACTTAACTTTTTGCCCTGTTTTTTTTTTCTTTTCAGAGTCTAAGAAAGTGTAGAGAAGATAATGCGAAGTGCATGTGGGAAGGGACCTCAGATCCCCGTGTCTCCTTTTGTAGGGCTTTCAGACAGTGCTGCAGTGCCACGCACAGTGAATCGAGAGAAGCTCCCTTAACAAACTATGAGGAAGTGAGAGAGATACTCTCAAGGACATGGATGGAGAAGATGCTGCGCAGACATGTATTCAGCTGGACAATACAATGGAACACGTCTTGATGCGCTCTGACAAATATTAACGTGCACTTTCAAGGTTGGCACCTAGCAGTCATTCATCTTTCTACACCATGGAATAAAATGTCTAAATAGAAGAACTCTCAGTTATATATTCACGAATGTTCTATCTTGTGTTTCGTGTGTCCATCTATCTCAAAAGACTTTTTAGGCTTTTTTTAAAAAATAATTTTAGATTTGCAGGAAATTGGTGCAGAGAATTCCCTCAGACTTTCTGCCCCAAGCTTCTCCGTATGTTAACAAGTTTATCTATCAAATCACCAACACATTTACCTTGATGTCATTAATTTACCTTATTTACTTCTCAAATCACCAAAAAGCTGTAACAATTAGTTAAATGTCTATTATTTGGGGCATTTTAGCGGCAGCGGAGTGGGTCATAAATAAAGGAAAGCCTAGGCCTTGCCTTCAAATGTCACCTGGACTGTGATCTTGTTTTAGGAGCCCAAGGGCTCTCAGAGTCCTGGGGAACGGAGGACCCCTCCGGGCCGTGAAAGTCCATTCAGTTTTAAGGGAGAAGGTGGTGTTTGTCAAGGTTGAGATCTGGGATGGGGCAGGAAAGACACAAGGAACATTGAACGATAAGGAGCAAGAAAGCCCAGTGCATCTCTGGGGGCAGCAGGAGGTGGGGTGGGTGGGCCCAGGCTGGGACTGTCCACTCCTCCAGGACAGAGGACATGGGCCTGGAAGGCAGGACCCTTAGGCCCCGAGGAGGTGGGACTAGCTCTGAGGGCGGGTGGCTGGAGCAGAGGCATCGAGGAGGGACATTTGGTGACAAAACGGAGCAGGAGCTGGGGGCCTGAGACAGGGGTGGGGGGCGTTGGGCAGGACTGCAGCCCTCACCTAAGTCTCAAGGACCTGTTAGAACCCCCGCCTGAAGACTCTAAAAAGCATAAGTAGCTGAACGATCGTAGGTTGAAATTCTCTTCCTTCCTCCTGTCTTCTCGTTCCCCCGCCGCCCCAAACGAGCGACCCCTGAGACATTCGAGGAACGTGAAGTGACGTGGACGGCCCAGGTCCTCCAGACCCGCTCACAGCCGGGGCAACAGCGCCGAGTTGCACCCTTGGGGGTGCAGAGCTGAGCCCAGCCTGGCCGGCCCAGTGCCTCCCGCACCATGGAGGGGGCTTCTGCCCCCAGGCCTGTCCCCATTCTGCCTCTTCACTCCTAGCCCAAGGCGGGGGAAGGCCACCACTGCAGAAGGGCCGGCCCAGGGCCTTCGGCTTCACTGTCATTTGATGTGGCTTCCCATCACACTACGTGGAGAAAGGGGCCCGGGCTCGGGGTCCCAAAGGAGGCCTCTCTCTGAGCGAGGCGATGTCTGCCACTTCGATGTGTCTCATCCGTGCCCAGGGGCCAGCGAGTGCCTCAGTGAAAGGCAAGCTTGGAGCTGAGCCCAGGATGGGGGGTGGGAGGTGGGCATGGGATCTGTCCAGCCCTGGGGGGGCCTGTGCAAGGGGAGGGGCCTCAACAGAAGCCCTCCGCCTCAATCTCTCCCTCTGCTCAAGCTCTCCTTGGATTAATCACTCCTCCCCAAACGCGCACTGCCGCGGGGGCCGTCACACTGAACAGTCCTCGGGGAGGGACGCCTTTCTGTGGCCGCACCTGTAAGCGGGGCGAGTCACGGGCACGTGGGGACAAGTGACGTGGGCAGTGACCTCGAGGAGAAAGGCCTAGATGGGAGCACCCCAGAATTTACTGCGCTTCCTCTCTAAATGGGAGGATCATGGAAGGTTTTTATTTTCTTATTTCTGTCCAGTGAAGCATTTCTCATTTTCTGTAAAGATTTTAACTTTTCTATTGAGAGATAAACAGGAGTTTAATGACTATGGTAAAATCCTTTCAGGAAATTGGGAAGTAATACATGACAAAACCAGGGAGGTGTTTGTATCGTTTGCTTAGTGATTTTTTCCAGGTGATTTATCCCAAAGAAATTATTTAACAGAAGCAAAATTGCATGCGTGTGTGTATGTGTGTGTATCGTGTGTGAGTGTGTCTCTGTCAGGGTAGGTGGGTGTGCATCTTTCTCTGTGCATGCAGGTGTGTGTAGGTGGGTGTGCATGTCTGTGCACGTGTGTGTGTGCGTCTGTGCAAATGTGTGTGCAGGTGTCTGTGCATGTACGCACGTGAGTGTGTTTCTGTGTGTCGTGTGTGGTATGAATGTGCGTGTATGTGTGCACAAGTGTGTGTGTGTGTTTCTGTGTGTCGTGTGTGGTATGAGTGTACATGTGTGTGTGCACAAGCGTGTGTGTGTGTGTGTGTGCAGGCGTCTCTGTGCATGTACACACGTGTGAGTGTGTGTGTGTGCGCGCGAGTGTGTTTCTGTGTGTGTCATGTGTGGTATGAGTGCACGTGTGTGTGTGTGTGCAGGCGTCTCTGTGCATGTACGCACGTGTGTGTGTGTGTGCTTCCTGCCTGCCCTTCCAGAGCCAGCTTGGACTCGCGCGAAGTGCTAGGCTAGAGGTGCTTCCAGCACAGGTGTCCCGCGCCGTGGGCACCAGCAGCTGTGGGGATCACGGCACGATGCTCACAAGGACACGGAGGCTGCTGCTGTGACCCCGACCAAACATGGAGGTCGGCCAGCTTGCACATGGATGAGGGCTTGAAGGGACCAGGCGGAAATGAGTGTCGAGGGAAACGAGGGCTTCCTGCTCACTGCCCCCCGAGGAACCGTCCTAAACGTCGCAGTGGAGGGCACCAGGTGACCTTTGCCCCCCACCCGGTCTTCACTGCCAGTGACTGAGTGGCCTCAGGTAAGTCCTCTGCCCCCTGCCCCCCGGTTTCCTCACCGACTGAGCGGGCATGACGACACGGGTGGCATCGTCCCGCCCAGCTCCTGGGGCATCTGAGGACAGGGCTTCTCTGCGCTGGACGTGGGCGCCCTTGGAACACAAAGGCTGGAGCGGGGGTGCTGCCCGCTCCCCCAAATTAAGATGCAGTGACTTGGGGCAGCTGTGAATTCTCCAACTGCCTTTTCAGCCAGAACCCAGAGCATCAGGGCCAGAGGAGAGCCAGCGATGGCTCCCTCTGCACTCCCAGGGCTCAGGGAGACCCAGGGAAGATGGGTGAGCCGGGGGTGGGGGTTGTGGCCACAGTGAGATCTCCTAACTGAACCAGCTCCCCCGCGCTGCCCCTAAGCATGGCCACCCCTCGGGGGTGTCCGGGAACCTGTCCCATGGGGTGGGCTGTGCACGGGTCCCGACGGCATGTCTGGTACCTGAGCACTCGGTCGGAGGCCTGGCTGGACTTGGACACGTCACAGCTCTGGTGCTTTTCCTGGGCCTTTGCCAGTTTCTCTGCTGCAGCAATAGGGCATCCGGAAAGGCTGCAAAGACAGGGGGTCTAAGAGTCTTCCATAGTGCCCCCTCATTGGCCCCATCGCCTCCTCCCGCCCTCCCTCGGGCAGCATCAGGCTCCCGAACCTCAGGGATGGAGTGAACCCGGAAGGGGCTTCGCATGTCTGCCTCCCACCTCCAGCAGACATGCTGATGGCCGTGTCACGTGAGCGAACGCACGGCCCCTTTCAAGGATGACAAAACAGAGGCAGAATCATTCAAGGGACACAGAATCTTAGATGCGGCGTCCGCTCCGGGATGCTCGCTGGGGAATTTACCATTGGGTAGGATGGGTTTCTGAAAACCCCGAGTGCAGGGCTCTCTGGCCTCAGCACGGTGGACACAGGCTGACCAGCCTGGCTGTGTACTCCCCAGAAAGAGACCCAGAAGGGGGAGGAAGGCAGAATGATCTCGAGGCTCCTGTAAAATGTTTTCTGAACCTAAATATTTACAGGAAGAGACAGCAGTGTGCTCTTCTGTGTTTGAGCTGGTTTTTTGTGAAACCCTGGTGTCTGCGTGTGCATCTCCGGTCAGAGAGCAGAGGCTCCGTCCACAAACACAGAGTCTGGAATCGGTGTGATTTTGCAGTGGATTTACAGAGGAGCTGATGCTGTGGGCCCCGTAATCAGAGATCAGGGGGCCGATCCAGCCATCACATCACAGTCCTCCAGAGGACGCCCGGGAACGTCTTTGAGGGGTACAAGTTTGTGACCTCATTCATTATAAATTTAGCACAAGTAGCCAAGTTTACCAGACAAGCAACAATGAAAATGAAACTTATAACAGCTTCCTCCACTTAGATACAACTTTACGCCACTTCGTGAAGCTGAAAGGATAGGCAGCACAAAAACAATTTGACAGAATCACTCTCCGGCTTTTGGATAAAAAGGACCTGACGGGAACTGAATACCAGAAGTCACCCAGCAGAAGCCGGGACAGGCGTGAGAGGATGGGGCTTGTCCCGAGATGGGAACTGAATACCAGAAGTCACCCAGCAGAAGCCGGGACAGGCGTGAGAGGATGGGGCTTGTCCCGAGACGGGAACTGAATACCAGAAGTTACCCAGCAGAAGCCGGGACAAGGCGTGAGAGGATGGGGCTTGTCCTGAGACGGGAACTGAATACCAGAAGTCACCCAGCAGAAGCCGGGACAGGTGTGAGAGGATGGGGCTTGTCCCGAGCAGAGTGCGGTCTGCAGCTGCAGCCCAGGAAGCCCTGTCTCCTCGGCCCCTGCTCCCAGCCTGTCCCCTCACCAGCATCTTTGCACACCTGCTGGCAGCCGGTGACACCCACACGGGTGACCGGGGTGTTGGCAGGGGTCACGGGGTGGCCGAGTGAGGCCGCACTGTGCTCGGTCTGGGGTCTCTAGCTGCCATCCCGTCTGATGAGGACAGGGGGGACCTCCCGACCCCCGGAAGCTAAGGGAGCAGTTCCTGCCTTCCTTGGAGTCGCTGCAGATGGTTATGGCTCCATCCAGGGTCTGACCTCAAGGAGCACACCTCCCAGGGGACCGTCGCTCCATCACGAGCTGGTGAGATGCCTGCAGACTCAGGGTCTAAGCCCCGAGCTCTGCCGGGCGCCCCAGGCCGGCTCAGCTCCCCCCTCCTGAAGGCAGGGCCCAGGCCCCCGTCCCGCGGGGCTGTGCCCCCTCCCGAGGGCACGGGGCGGGGCTGCCGGGGACCGGCTCCCCTGCAGCGAGAACGCAGGAGCTCTGCTTACCTTCTGTGCGAGTTCCTGTTGCTATTTACATGCCCTCGCCCCGTGCAGCCTGGAGTAGGACACTTGAGAACATTCTCATGCATGGCAAGAACTTGACAAGGAGAGGCAGAGAAAACAGCCCAGCGTTAAAACACAGAACGGTCCCAGGACAAGAATATGCAGTCGTTTCAACAAAGGCTGGGTTAGTTTACGACAGACAGTCCTACACACGTCTGAGATGGACATGGGCGGGGAGACACAGGTAGGAAGAAGGGGAGGCGATCTCCACCTGACTCTGACCGGCATGCAAAGCGGGGTGCGCTGGGCGGGAGTGGGGGCTCGGGCAGTGGGAGCCCTGGGCTGCTCCCGCCGGGGGAGGAAACCCGGGTCCCCGTGTAGTTTACGACAGACAGTCCTACACACGTCTGAGATGGACATGGGCGGGGAGACACAGGTAGGAAGAAGGGGAGGCGATCTCCACCTGACTCTGACCAGCATGCAAAGCGGGGTGCGCTGGGCGGGAGTGGGGGCTCGGGCAGTGGGAGCCCTGGGCTGCTCCCGCCGGGGGAGGAAACCCGGGTCCCCGTGTGGCCCCCAGGCACAAGCTCGGGGCAGGGGTCAGCCGTGTCGCAGCACGCAGATCGGCAGCTTGTAAACACGCCCCTGCCTTGGAAACACACGCGAGGGGGGTGTGGGAACTCCCAAACCCGACTGCACGTACAGTGAGTTAGGTGATGACTTTTCATCTAGGAACTGGGTACCCTGTTCTTGATTATACGAGGAAGGAAGAGCTATGCGGGCCCAGGGGAGACCAGGAAGGAGGGGCAGGGCCTGGCCCAGAAAGCAGAGAAGGCTGTGCTGTCTGCAGAGCCAGCCTGAGCCTCCGCCAGGAGGTCACGGCCCTGGACTGTTGCCTGTCCATTCCTTGCTGGTCCTCGCTGACGGATCGCGGCCCTGGACTGTGGGGGCCGCCGGGGGTGAGCAGTGCCGTGACCGCCCCTCTCCAGCCCCGCCTGGTGGTCCCTGACCTCCGGGAGACGGTGCAGTGAGCATGCGGACCCTCTGTGGCGAGGGTGCCCTGGCACCTGCCGAACACGGGCTGCCTGAACCCCGTATGTCACCGTTGCCTACAGTCCCTCTCATCTCAGGCACCCCCCCACTTCCCCGGAGCCCCTCCACGTCCCCCCGACGGGGCCCTGGGCCCCCGCGGCCCTGTCTGTCCCGGCGGTCTAGGCTCCATCCGTGTGGGAGCGGGCGTCGCCCTGCCCCCCGCCCCTGCTTTCTGACTTTCCCTCCTTGGTTCGCTTCTTGGTCCTTCACTGATGCCCCGTCACCTGCTCATCACCGCTCTCAACCTTCCCCATGACACAGCTTCCTCTCCTCCCCTTTGAGACTGAACCTGTAGAGTGCTAAGTCTCCCTTGGAGACGGCACACACCTTTCGCTCCCGCCTGTGCAGTGGGCCACCCTCTCCTGCCAAGGCCTGCTCCGTCCTCTGCATCCGGCCTGCCCTGGGACGGGATCTGCACTGCCCTGGGCCTGCAGGCCTCTCGGCTTCCTCCGGGGCTCAGTCTCCCTCTCGGGGGTCAGCTCCAGCCTCTCTCGGCAAACTCGCTGCTCTCTGCATCAGCTTCCGCCGACTTCTTTCTCAGACACCCCTGCACGTGTGGGCCTTTCAGAGAAACCGCCTGCTGCCCGGTCCTCTGCCCCTGGGGGGTCTCCGCTCCTGCGTGCCCTCCTCTGCCCCCCTTCCTACAAGCCTGTGTCCAGACCTCCCAGGCTGGGCTCCTCTTCAGCCTCCTCTCCGAGCAGCTACATCCTGGTTTCACTGACGCTGCCCAGAGGACCGCCCCCCTGTGTGTCTGACCTCGTCCAGGTGTCCTGGCTGGCCATCCGGTCTGTGGGGAATGTTACACACAGCATCCAGCTTCAGCTGGAGAAGTCCAGGCCACCAGACTCTCTATTGTATGTGCCCTGTTCTGGATTCCCCACCTCGGTGATCGGGGGAGACTCGCCGTTGACCCTGGGAGGTTCCTGGGCGTCTTCTCAACCTCCCTGCCTTTCTCCTTCTCAGTCCTGTCCTGCCAGCCTGTCTCTGGAACGTTCCTTGGACCCGACCCTCAGGCACCACCTCCCGTCTGCCTGGGCTCCCACGTGGACCGTCACGACAGCTCTTAGAGAACATCCCTAACCCTCTCAGACAGGACGGCCCGAGCACCGCCCGCGTGAAGCCTGCGGTGGCCCTGGTCCTGAGGCCCGCAGCAGGGGCCGGGGCTCGGTGGTGAGGTGGGCACGTGGCCGACCCCCGCCGAGCCGGGCTGGGGGCTCCTGGACCAAAGCTGTGTCTCATGTTCCTCTCCGTGAGTCCTCTGTGTCTCTAACATGGTGTGTTGAAAGCTGGGGTACAGGCTACTTTACGGAATTCAACTGGACAGGAAAGTGGTTAGGGTGTGCTGGACCCAAAAATGCTAACAAATCAAAAGTAGAAAAAGACACGCTTCTATGGAGCGCTTTGACTCTTCATCATTTTCATGGCAAAGACTCCCGTAGGAGTCCATCTTTGGAAACAACCTCCTGTGGGTGTCTGAGAAAGTGACAGTGACCCTGGTTCAGAGCTGAGTCCTCGGCACGTGAAAAAGGCCCAGCCAGGCGCGGCCTGACACGGGGTCAGACTGCAGAAGAGACTGCCTCAGACTGCTCTTGGGGAATGGGGAGTCGGAGGATCGCTCAGCCGTGGGAATGGACGCTCTACTTTGATGCCTCAAAGGAACAGTGCATAGAGAAGCTCCCTGCTCTTCACGGGTTAGTGCTGGGTCCTACCGCCTTGTTTGTAGATGAGACGAGAGGCCCAGAGCGCAGGTCTCCTGCCCTACGACACAGCTGGTCAACTGGACCCCAACGCCAAGCCCAGGTCTCCATGGAGACAGCTGGGCTCGGGGCTGGGCCAGAGGCGGGTTTGGGTCTGAGCTCTGTTCTCCGTTCAGAGGAGCTCAGAAAGCGCCGCGCATCCTCAGGGTGCCAGGAGCCGAGCCGATTCCCAGGGGAGGAGGCGGCGCTGGGCCTTCCCGTTCCTCATCTGAAAACAGGGCCAATGCCCCTGTGGGTGTCCTGGGGATTGGATGAGTGCGAGCGGGTGCCCGACCCAGGGGTGCTGGGTGGAAGCGGCCAGGGTGAAGCGAGCTGCCTCTGCTCATGTAACACACGGGCGCGGCCTCTCTGCAATCCGCTGCGGCCGCAGCCCTGCGCCTTCGCTCGCAGGACGGTTCTGAGAGACACGGCCTCCCTGTCACCGGGGCCACCTGCAAGCCTGCAGCCACAGCAGCTTCTACCAACACGTCACCTGAAGACACTCGGCCCAACCTGTTCCCTAAGCTGCACCACTTTCTCTGCTGCTCCAAAGCTGGCCGCTGTGATGGGGACGTCCCCGGAAGGGCCCCTCAACCACCAGCTGGCCACCGCCGCTTCTCCAGCTGGGCGACGAGTGGTCCCCACTAGCAACCGCATCTTATAGGACGAGGGAACCCCCGCCGCCTTAAGACACCAAATCAGGGGCCGACACAGTCATTCCTGAAAACGTGCCTTTCCCCTGAGCCATCGGTTCTAATTGTACCTTCATAGTTGGCACACTTCAAGTGTCGAGAAAAGATACGCAAAAAAGGTACATCATTTCAATTCTAAAAGAAATTTAGTTGTTTTCATAGATGGAGTGCATGTTCTTAGAACCTAACTAATTCAAACAGATTTGTAAGATCGAAACCCACTGGAGTTAAACCTCCTTAAGATTTTATCGTGTAGAAATGTTGGGACACTATGAAATAGATAAGTAGGATGTAGTTACACGTAAGTACTGGTCGCGTGGATGGAGAAGCTCAGATAACTGGGCAAAAGCCACCTCGAGTCCCTTTTCTTTGGGGGTCAGAGCCGGGGGGCGCGGGGTGGATGTCTCAGAGACTGTCTAGACTCGGTGCTGCAATCTGTGGGGAGGAAAGGAGTGAAGTGACTGGCGTGGGTCGCCACGAGCTCGAGATGAAGGCAGGACCAGGCCGTCTGCTCGGGGGCCACGGGGGAGGCGATACTGATGTAGAGCTGGGGTCCGAGGTGGGTGTGCAGGGACCCCACTGAGGGGACGCTGCGGGGGCGGGGGGGAGCCGGGGTCCTGGCCGAGCTGCCCCTCGGACAAGGACACGCCCGCGTCAGGCGGCGCTGACCGGAGATGGAATGACAGGTGAGGATGCAGAGACGAGGCACAGGTGTGTGCACGCCAGGGCGTTGGTGAACACGGACTTACTTTCTGGAGGGACCCTATCTTTGTGCGGGCATCCGGACAGACTGCGGTGATGCGGATAAAGCCCGGTTACGTGGCCCGTTCCGTCACACCCGGGGGTGGGGCACTTGCTCTCTTTCTTTTCTGCTCTCGAGGGATCTAAAAGTGATAACAGGTGTCAAGAGAATGAATTTTTTTTTTTCAACCAACTGAAGACAAATGTGATTATTTAACAATCTGAAGAGACCTTGATACATAAAGACATAAAATAGGTGTCAGGGACACACTGTGACATCCTGGGTCGTTCTCTGGTTTCAGGTGATTTTTTTTTTTTTTTTTACCTTAAACGGTGTAATCATGAATCATGTTTTACTTTCGATGCTAAAGAAAAAAAAGGCTCTCCCTACCTGAACTCTGATTAATTGTTTCCCGTGTGTTACATGATAAGTTGTTGCTCAAGAAATCAACATAAATAATGATGAGACAGTGACCTTCTCAGAGAACAAGACATCTCCATAATCTTTCAGCAACTGCTTCGTGACATCCAACCAGGAAACATAACGCCTTTTAAGCACTCTGCAGCAGAGTTTCTTACTGAATTCTCTGATCGTATACGCCATTAGCTGCACAATTTTACTGGTACTGCAATGTCTTTTCTTGAAACACCGCTCTTAGGACACAAATTCAGTGCTTTTCTCAAGACAGACTGAACTCTTAGAAGGCACTGCAAGCAAATGACCGAAATGGCAGGACCCCACCTGACAGAGGTGACGGGCAATCAAAAATGTTTCAGAAGCTGCTGGAGCAATCGTCTGTTTTGATCTCTTCGTCTGTGCTTGGAACCAGAGGAAGGCTTGGACAGCTGTGCGGGCATGCACCAAACTAAGAGGCAATGCTTCTAGGCAGCCTGCAGGCGCTGTGGTGCCCGCTGGGGCGGAGCAGGGCTGACATTTGGTCAGAACTTGAATGCCAGATGCCAGAGTGCAGTGACATTGCTAACAAAATTAACCCTAGACCAGAATTGGCCACAGTTCATGACTGTGCAGAAAATAACCCCAGAACCTATTTCTAAGTTAAAGCCCAGACCAAATAGTCATACCAGTGTGTGAAACACTATTTTTGAACCAGTTTTCAAAACGAGATGCGCAGATGAACCATAGATGGTGACTACTAGAAGTTTGGCCCAGGGAAGCTACAGGTAACAGATCTTTCGGAAGTTAATGCTTTTGTATTGATACTGCATTAATTAGGCCAATAGTAATTTTTCTAGTAAAACATCTAGAAAACAGATGTTTTACTTTTGGAGGATTCATTTTATATCAAGAAAGAGGACTGGTTTAAAAATTTTGGAACTTTTATATGATTTTTTTCTTAATCATTTATGCAAACTTGAAATAGACATAGGATTCACAGGAATATATATATACTTTTATGTTTGTATGAAAATACTTCCTTTTATTGTTTAGCTATCATTTTATTCTCTAAGATATAGCTTTCAGGTCTTGGAATCTCTTAAACCAGTGAGAGATATGTCTGAGATACAATGGTCAGCTACTTTCTGCCTTTATTTACAGATAATCAACTCTGAAGACAAATCTAAACCTATGCTTCTGTGACTTCAATTTCTAAATATCTTTAAGTTTGAGGTTCTCTGACAACCAAAAGGCTCAGCATTTTATTGCCTTTGAGTAACTTCGTAATAATAGTGGTATAACTGAATGTATGCAAATATAAAATAGTAAGTGCAAGTAATTGTTTCAAAGGAAAATATTATTTAAGATCATAAATTAGAGATATCATTTAAAATCGTAAACTATATATAAATGACTTTTAAGGATAAAAACATAAGTTATAACTATTAGGAATCATTAAGTGACTCTTTTCCATGAGTTTTTACAGTTTCCTAACAAATTATACTGTGTCACGATCTTGAGTGTCCTGAAGCTCAGTGCAGATCTGTGCGGACACAGTGGCTCCGGCCACTGCAGGTTTGCAGACGCCAGGGTGTACTCTCCTCTGGATGCCTGTGTCCTGGGGGCGGGTGGTCACCTCTGCCTTTGCCAACACCCCCACCTCCTTGGTTTCTCCCTTCTCCAACCCCAATTCATCTTGAAAGCAAATCTTCGAGCAACTGCAAAACAACCAAGCAAGCAAAACAGGCCAACAATCTACCCCAAAACCTTGCAGCCACATCCAGAAACACCTGAGTGCTGGATCTAGCCCTTCCCTTCCTCCCGCAGACCCTTTGGAGGAGAAGGTGGAAAAAGTTTTGTGATGAACTTCTTTTGTTTTAGCTCAAGCTTTTGGAAAGGTTACTCACTTGGAAAAGATTGTGTATGGATGAGAATCGGTATGAGTGTTCTCTCCATGTTTAATAAAGCAGCAGAGAAGCTGACCATAGATTGCTGATACACACTTGGCCAAGCCTGCCAGGCTCCTCTGTCCGTGGGATCTCCCAGGCGAGAATACTGGAGTGGGCAGACAGTCCCTCCTTAGGGGGTCTTCCTGACCCAGGGATGGAACCAGGTCCCCTGCACTGCGGGCAGACTCTTTACTCTCTGAGCCACCGGGGAAGCCCAGGAGGGCAGACAGCTTTTTTAAAATAAGAGACCATTCATCTCTCTCCCACACTGGTGCCCTTCCTTGGCTTTATTCATTTGGTTCTGCATAGAACTATGACATCTTCACAAGAAATTTGGGAGCGACATGGAACATACTGACAGAAAATGGAGCTGGGCTTTGGCCAGAGGGGGAGGATGTGGAAAACCTGGGGAGAGGCGGAGGTCGTCAGCAAAGTCCAATTCCCAACCTGCCCCCCTTTCAGGGAAGAAGCGCATCTCCGTTTTGGGATTTTACTGTTTGTTTCCATTCTGTCCCTGTTTATTTAGGGGAAACAAGTGATCTGAACTCCACTTCTTCCCAAAAACAACAAAGAACAACAACAATAACAAAACAAAGTGAGTGAAAATCTACAGCAAGTGCTGGGTTGAAAGAAACCGCAGAAACCAACGCAGGCCTAGGAACCCCGGGCGTGCATGAGCCTGCGTGGTTGCCTTCTCAACCAGACTCAGGCCTGAAACACACTCTGCAGAAAGCCGTTGTGTCTGTCCCCCGAGCCAGTCCACAGGGAAGGACACCGTTTCCTCCTAAGTGTTCTGTTTCTGTGTGTGTGTTAAGTCGCTTCAGTTGTGTTTGACTCTGTGACCCCGTGGCCTGTAGACCACCGAGTTTCTCTGTCCAAGGGGTTCTCCAGGCAAGAACACTGGAGTGTGTTCCCAACCCAGGGGTCGAACGTTCGTCCCTTCTGTCTCCTGTATCAGCATGTGAGTTCTTTACCACTAGTGCCACCTGGGATTCGCAGCTATCCAACTACGGATTTCTAAGAGACTGTGTTCAGTATAAACACACTCGCTGCACCTCCGGGTCTTGCAACACCCAAAGCAAGCCTGACGACCGCCTGAGCTCCATATCATGGCCTTTACGAGAGGACCCTTCTTCATACCCTGCGCTTCTCAGGGTCTGGCCTGCACCTGCCTTACTGAAACGGCCGTCAGCACCCAAGCACCTGGCACATTCAGGACCCAGCAGGCCTCTGGCTGAGGTCTGTCTCTAGCGGAGTTCGGTTAAAGCAAAGCCCAATGCGCCCCTGGGGGTGCATGCCCATCGAGAGGAGAATACACACCTGTGTCCCTGCAGAAGAACTGGGTTCTGATTGTGTGACATTGCCCTAGCAACTGATTTCCAAAGCAAAATCTGAACCTCATTATAAGGAAATGATATTCATAAGGAATAAGACAATACACAAGACAGGAGAACTTTCTGGTACAACTAGGGAAGAATTTAAGGAATCACCAATTTCATTCTTGAAGTTGTTTCTTTTCACTTGGTTCTGAAAGAGTCTTGAAACTGAAATATTCACTAGGTCCTACATGAGGTCAAATTATAATCCACTTCATACTGAAAGTGAACATGGCTGTTACCGGAAACACGAGGCTGACTGCTCAGGCTGGAAATATACATCTACACATCTTAGGTGTAGCAACCATACATGTACATGGCTAAATTTATAGACCTATGCAGATAGTTCACAACTGGAAACCTGGTTGGAGCTATGACAGAGGATGGTTTTGAGTGTCTCCTGATAAAGCAAGCACCATGACTGTTTCCACGGTGGCTGGGAACAGTGAGGGGTGGGTACCCTAAAAGGACGACTATTGGTCTCAGCTGGGGACACGCGGCTCCCGTCACTAAGCGACTACCTTAAGGTAAGGAATGAGGGGTCACTGCCCTCGCCAGATGCTAGTGGTCACTCTGCTGCTACTGTGCAGTTTCCAGCAGGGATGTTTGCCAGGGGGGGGTTTCATCAATAACTGTCATTCGATGATAATTTCATAAATCAAGGACTTCCCTGGTGGCTCAGATGGTGAAGTGTCTGCTTACAAGGTGGGAGACCCAGCTTCAAACTCTGGGTCGGGAAGATCTCCTGGAGAAGGCAATGGCAGCCCACTCCAGTACTCTTGCCTGGAAAATCCCATGGATGGAGGAGCCTGGTAGGCTACAGTCCATGGGTTGCAAAGAGTCAGACATGACTGAACAACTTCACTTTCACTTTCATAAATCAGGACGCCACCTACTCAATGAAATTTGAAATGCACGCTTCACCCCCCTTGGCTAATTGCCACATAAGCCCTTGCCACTCCACACGGACTGTGGCTCCTCTGGGAGAAAACAGACTCATCCTAACATTCTCTATCACGTGATGGGCGTGTGCTCTCACCCTGGATCTCCAAGACATGCGTCTTCCCCTGAAATATGTTATTAAGCTGCGTGGTGCACTTCTCATACAGATATTTTATTTGCTCTTTGGAGACATAGCCATGAGGCATAATTCTGGAATCACCTGCAAGAAGCATGCATTGGTGATGCAACGCAGTGAGATGCCTCCTCGAGCGGCAGCCTACGCCTGACAGCCTTTGCCCTAGCTCCCGCTTCCATACGGCCACTTACATTAGGTAGAAATATTACCTTTACCATAGTATGGCTTTTTGACATGGCTGTCCGCGGACTTAGGCTTCCTCTCCTCCCCGGGGAGCGGCCGCGGGGACTGGTCCTCGAAGGACCGCAGACTGTCCCTCCGGCCTGCCTCCAGCGCCATCTTCTCCCTCATGGCCTTGGCCCTCTCGGTCTCCAGGGCGATGGCTTTCTCCAGGAGGGTCAGGTTGCCCTTGGTCATGTCAAACACCTCCTCCGACCGGTCGGAGGTCACGGAGGCGGCGTCGTCGTCGCGCTCGCGGTACCCGCCGTCCTCCTTGGCACAGCTGGAAAACGTTCTGGGCCGGGGGCTCAGCTGCTCCTCCAGCCGCATCAGGTTCATCATGTCCGAGTAGCTGCGGTCCGGCGTCCGGCCCGGGAAGTCGTCTTCCGGGCGGCCGTGCGCGCGCGGGCCGGCGCCGGGCGGGGGCGGCCGCTCCTGCGGGCTGCCTTCGCTCAGCTTGCGCGCCAGGTCGAAGCACTGGTTGCGCAGACACTCCAGGCTGCTCAGACACACCTCCTCGTCGCTCTCCTCCACCAGCTTGTCCGCCAGCCCGTTGTTGGCCGGCTTGCCCAGCATCCCGTAGCTCAAGGTCCGGCCGTCGGGCGGCGCCAGCGCGTCCGCGTAGGCGCGGTCGCCGGGGTGGTCCCCCAGCACGGCGCCGTGGCCCTGGGCCAGCAGCTTCAGCGAGTCCACCGTCTCCCTGACCACGTCGCTGTCGAGGTCCAGGCTGAGCTCGCCCTTGCGGCCGGGCGCCTCCGCCTTGTCGCTGTCGTCCTCCAGGCTGTGCGACGTGCTGCTGTTCATCTCGGACTCGGTGCGCGCGCGGTGCGCCGCGTCCTCCGCGATCTTGCCGAGGTTCAGCAGCGACTTGGCCACCAGCTCGTCGTAGTTGTCGTACTCGTCGTCGTTGTTGTCGTCCTTCTCCGCGTCCTGCAGCGCGCGCGCGCCGTGGCAGCCCAGCTGGCGGCCTTCTGCAGAGAGAGCAGACACAAGGACACACGAGAAAACAAGAGGGAAAGTGGCTACAACGGTGGCCGCGGCAGCGCGGGGGGCCAGCTCGGGCGCGGCCCGCGGGACCTGGAGACCCCTGCAGGTCCGCAGGCGGAAGGGACGCGGAAGGGGGCGTGTGCGCAGGGCCCAGGGGGCGGTGGGAGACACCTGCTGCAGACTGGGAATTCCCGGAACTGGGTAGGGTGAGGGTGGTCTTGGTGGCCGTGTTTAGTTGCTAAGTGGTGACCCCCAGGACTGCAGCCCGCCAGACTCGTAGTCCATGGGACTCTCCAGGCAAGAACACTGGAGTGGGTTGCCGTTTCCTCCTCCAGGGGATCTTCCTGACTCAGGGATCAAGTCCCCATCTCCTGCCTTGGCAGGTGGGTTCTTTACCACTGAGCCACCTGGGAAGCCTAAATATAATTTTAAAATATCACTTTTTCATTACTTCTAAATTTTAAGCATTGCTTTTAAAAGTGAATTTCTTTATTTACTGCCCAACCACGTGCATAATAATGATATCCATTATATGACTAGGCTTTCTAAGAGTTCTGTCAACTTGTTGCCAACTTGTAAGCAGATGTTCACAGCAATTTCATTTAAATTGCTTTTGCAGAGATGCTTGGGCAGCACAGAAGAAAGCCCAAGGTTCTGGTGGGTCCTCCTGGGATGCCGACATCCCGACATTGGTGGGTCCTCCCTGAGATGCCAACATCCTGACATTGGTGGGTTCTGCGCCGACTTGGACCCTGGGCAGTCAGTACCAGGAGCACACGCTGGGGCTGACAGTGGCTTTGAATTTTCTACCTTAGAGCCCGTTTATCAAGATACGCTGTGAAGCAATGAGCCCCAGCAAAACTGAGAAGCGACTCTGACTCGCTGTATCTCAGTGGGCTGGAGAGGGTGGAGGGGGAGAAGTGCGCAGGAGTGCGCTGAGGTGGCCCATCATAACACACAGTCCCACGCCTGCTGCAGTCATCCTGCACCTCGGCAAAGCCGTGGTGAGCTGGCACACACACCGTGCGGATGTGTCATGGGAGGTGGCCCACCATAACTCACAGTCCCACGCCTGCTGCAGTCATCCTGCGCCTCGGCAAAGCCGTGGTGAGCTGGCACACACACCGTGTGGATGTGTCATGGGAGGTGGCAGATACAACGTGTGGATAAGTGTCGTGTCCAATCTCAAAAAAATTTGGGAATACTCATTTTAAAAAGGACCATGTTAAAAATTACCCTAACCCTTATATTCAATGGCATCACCACTTGATGGACCTGAGTTTGAGCAAGATCAGGGAGTTGGTGATGGACAGGGAAGCCTGGTGTGNGCAAGAGGTTTGAAGCTTCAGCCTCCAGAATTCAAAATCATTCACGGTGAACTTTCAGAATTCCGTCTCTGATTTTGTTCTTTTGGATAGTTTACCCTTCTAGTTATGTTTTCGCTGAGCCTCATGATGAAAAGGACCACACATGGAAGTAGGTGGTGGGAAATGGTCCAGAAGTCTCTGGGCCAGCTAGGCATTAACAAGGCGGTACCGATGGTCCACAAACTGAATTTTCAATCCAAAGAGATTCGGGAATCAGTGGGGGTAGTTCTTCACGTGATGAATGACCCCAGAAACAGAATGTGTTTGTGATGAGAAAAGATGTTTTACCAGAAAATTATTTGAAAGTTCAGGTCCACATTCTAAACAAAAGAGCGCAGCCACCCAGAGGTTTAAGTAGAAGGCCCCGGCATCTCTGTGGCCTTCCTCTCTGGTGGAGTCTCTTCTCTAGCAGAGCACGGGGGGGAGGGCAGTGCTGGGGCAGCCTTGGGCTCGCCTTTGAGAGGGGCTCCCAGGGTGTCCACGCCTCTGGAAACTGGAGGAGAGCTGGTCCAGCCGCTCCCAGGGGAGCGCCCTGCGCCCCGGAGGCGCAGGTGGTTCGGGAGCTCAGCCCGCGGGGTCTCTGCAGCTTCCTTACCGAGGACACCCGGGATTTTTGTCGGGATTCTCTGCGTCGTTTGGATTCCAATGTGAGCTTTGTGAAATGTTGTAGGTCTGAATTTTCTCTTTTGAATCAGATTGTTATAAACAATTTATGCTCAAGGCTACAAATAGAAAACAGCAACAAAAAGTTCTCTAAAAAATGGAGCCATGTAGGAAAATTTTTCTTCTCCATCCTCATAACCAGAATTTGATGTGGTTAGAACTCTGTGACTTATAATCTTATAAAACCAAGTGCAGACTTCAATGAGCATTTTGTCTCCAAAGGTTAGTCTGAGACCCACCTTTTGATTCTTTCAGTGTCTAGAATCAAAAGGTAGGTTGTTGTTGTTCTTTCCAGATGTTAAAATCTCTCAAATAGACAACAGATTAAAACAAAAATGTAGAACAGGAAAAAGAGACACTTCTTCACAGTGGAAATTCTCTAGGTCTGCCAGGTCATAGAAGACGTGGTCTAAGAGTCCACCCTCCATGGGCTGCAAATCACAAAAGGCCAGTTTCCTCTGGCCCTTCATGTAGGAAAGGTCACTCCTGGGGTCACCCTTCCTCTGCTGGTGAGAAGGGCGGAGGCTGGGAAGAGCGACCAGAGGCCACGTGGACCAGAGGCCCACTGACCTCACTGAGGGCCCCCAGCTCCCCTACTGTACTGAGCACCCAGGGGGAGCCCAGGACTTCATGGGGCAGGGTGGACACTGAGGTCTCTTTTGAAGAGTGGAAGGGCCCTCTCCTGGGTGTCCCGGGTTCCTTAGTGCAAATTCTGAGAACTCGGGGTGGGTTCTCGATGGGCAGAGCAATAAATCGGCCTCTGAGAAGTGGCCTGGGGCCCCCTCGGCCTCTCCCCCAGAATCCACTGCTTCTTATTTTCTTCTTAGATGCAGACATACAACTTCTTTCTTCTTCTTCCTCCGAACAATAGGCATTTCTTCACCTTCACCAGCCCTGTGCGATCCCAGAGCGTCCAGTGCTGGCTATACATTTCCTAGCACAGGTCAGACCTGCCCCAGGGTGCCAGGCACAGTGCTGCACCCGCAGGCCGCAGTGACCGCAAGCCTGGACCTGGAGAGTTGCCTGTTGTTTTTTTTCCTTAAGACATTATTATTATTATTATTTTTGATGTGAACTATTTAAAAAGTCTTTATTGACTCTATTATCGTATTGTTTTATGTTTTGGTTTTTTGGCCGTGAGGCATGTGGGTAGAATCTTAGCTCCCTGACCAGAGATGGAACCCCCACCGCCTGCAGGGGATCTGGAAGTCTTACCCAGTGGACTGCCAGGGAAGCCCTGGTTCCTGGGTTATGTTAATAAAATACTCAGCATCTCTCTTAAAAGTTGTTTAAGGTGGATGGTTGCTATCTGGCACAAGACTTCCCTATTGATTGTGAAAAAACATTTAGAATTCCCCGGGATTGTTTTCTGATTAAGGAAAGTAGAACACTGCATGCCAGGCGGTCAGAGTCCCCCTGCACTGCGTGCCCAAGAGGACCCCTGATTCCCAGTAAGACCAGTTCACAGGCTCCTCCCGGCACAGGGGAGTCCTCCTTCTGCACGTACTCTACTGGGGGGCAGCCCCCCACACCTGGGGGCCCTGCTCTCACGAGGTATCGTCCCCTCTTCACCTGCCCGCCGCTGCAAAGTTGCCGGGATGCAGGTGATGCTCAAAGGTAGGAGAGCCAGACAGCCCCGTGGGGACCACCCCCTGCAGGCTGGGAAGGACAGATGGGTCCCCTAAGCAGCTTCCTTCGCCATCAGCGCTGCCCCTGGCCCTGGGCCGTCTGTTGCTGCGGCCACTTCGGACAGCAGTTTCTCTGTCCTCACCGGAGCCCATCACGGTGGGATGATTTGGGTGAATTACGTGCAGTCACCCGAGATGCCCTTCTAGCCCTCCCTCCGGAGCTGAGTGCTGCTGCCTCTGAGGCTGTTCCCGCTGCGGGCTCCTCTCCACACCTGTCTGCTCGCGAGCGGCCCGACCTGCTGCTCCCAGAAGGAGCTGGTTCTCGGGGCCCGAACTCGCTTCTGCTGTGTGTCTGCTGTGGAGGCTCCGTCCCTGCAGTGGACACACGCTTCTCTCTGCGCCCCGCTGTCCTGAGCTCGGCAGGGTGCGCCCTGGGCACCGGGTCCCCGGTGAACATGCCCGGCTACCCCCGAGCCCTGGGCTTCTGCACGTTCACCATCTCTGCTCCTGGCCTTGGCGGAAGCCTTCCTTGGCCCGAGAGGAACCCCACAAAACAGACCCACACGGCCTGTCCTCATCGTCCCTGTGATGGGGGCCAGAGTGACCTCGGGGCACAGACAGGGGTGGGAGGGGGCGGCACTGGATGTGGGTGGGGTGCAGGTGTGGGGTGCCTCTGTCTGTCGGTTCATCGGGTCAAGTACTGCTTTTCCAGATGGCTTCCTCCAGCTTCAAAAAGGTCAGAGGGATACCGCAGGGCACGTCTGTGCCCCGTCCCCAGCTGAGGTCCCAAGTGTCCCAGATCTGACGGGCCTGGGGGACCTGGACAGGGCATGGCCGTGTCTTCCCTCCACCGCTGCTTGCTGAGCCCCGTTTGGGGCAGACAGGTGACCCCAGGAGTGGGGTGGGCAGCAGGGACGTCGTGGCGTCGGCGCCGGAAGGGAAGCAAAAGAAGTTGACATAAAGTCTGCGGTCGGGGGGTGACCCGGGCCGTGAGGGACAGGAGACCCAGGCGGAGGTCGCATCAGGCGGAGTCGGGCCGTGTGGGCTGAGAGCTGGTCTCTGGGCAGAGACTGGAGAATGCGGGGCGTGCACCCCAGGAGGCGGCGGCGGCGGCGGTGGGGAGCCGGGTGGTACAGAGCACGCTGCAACTTTCCTTAAGTTAAATTCAAATTCAGGTGTTTATATGTAAATAAGCACATGTGGCCAGGGGCTGCCATGCTGGCTAGCGCAGCGCCAGCACACGGAAGCACAGCAGGAGCTGAGCGCTGATTCCGGCTTTTATAACCTATGTGTGCATTTAACTTACACTTGTGTTTAAGTGACCTG